CTATGGTGGGCTCTGTATGATCTGTGGTGGGCTCTGCTGGGTCTATGGTGGGCTCTGCAGGGTCTATGGTGGGCTCTTCAGGGTCTGTGGTGGGCTGTGCAGGATCTGTGGTGGACTGTGCAGAATCTGTGGTGGGCTCTGTGGGGTCTCAGGTGGGCTGTGAGGCTCTCTGTGGGCTCTGCAGGGTCTCAGACTGCAAAGCCTACCTGCAACCCTGCAGAGCCCACAATAGAACCCACACTGACCACCATAGACCCTGCAGAGCCCACCACCGTTCATGCGAAGCCCCCTTGAGACCCTGCAGAGCCCACCACATATCCTGCACAGCCCCTCCTGAGACCCTGCAGAGCCCACCATAGACCCCACAGAGCCCACCACAAATCCTGCACAGCCCACCTGAGACTCTCAGGTGAGCTGTGCAGAATCTATGCTGGGCTCTGCAGGGTCCCTTTAACAGCACAGTGTGATCCTTTTACCTGCTACTGGACCTGGCCTCCTTCACCGACCAGACTAGTGCTGCTTGATCCCCAGCCTCCTCCACTGCCGATCTGGTGCTGCAGGGACCCAGCCTCCTCCGCCGCCCGACCAGAGCTGTGGGGAACCGGATCTGCCCTGCCCCCCTCTGCTGCTCTGCATCCTCCTCACCTCCTCCGCCGCTTGATTAGGCAGCCGGATCATATGCAGTGCACTGTTTTGGTGGCTGCATTGTTGCCACCTCCCTGGAAAGTGCCGCACAAGGCAAGTGCCTTGTTTGCCTTGCGGTAAATACACCCCTGATAAAACCATATTCTTGTGAGACTGGGGTACCAACAGCTGCTCCATAACTTGCTCCCAGTTCTTCTTTATACAATACAGTAAGTCATAGTATACTGCAAAAATAAGTATATGCCAGGTTACTGGTTCTGGATCTTCTGGGAAATATACTATATATATATAATGTAATACTGAATATGCAATCATTTAGATGACCTAACCTTTTATTTTTTCTTACATTGTCTGCCGGTCGGTCCCTTATCATTTCCATACTGAATAGGAATGAGTTTTCTCTGTTAATACACTTTACCATAAAAGGGGCCATTAGTACTAAGTAATTCTAAATTGCCAGGGCCATATAAGGAGAAGGGATACAGGAAACACTAAAACAAATCTCATTAAAAAGAATGACTGTGTGTTGGCAGCAGTTACATGCCTTGATATGAGCCTAGTTATACACATATAACGTTTAAAATGTATAATGTTTGTATTTCCCTATTATTAAACCTTTACATTTTATTGTCACTTTTACCTTTAGTAACAATTCATAAGCAATAATTCCTTTTTCATTGTCATGGTACTTACATTCTAAACATTGGAAATATTTTAGTTTATACTCAAAAATATGATTCAGAGTCTAGGACAGTCAATTCTGATAATGATTATGACTGTTATACTCTGGTATACTCTGAAGTGAAATCCTTACTGATGACAGGTGATTTTTCCAATGTGTCCTGTTGGCTGCTTAATTTGTGTAGAAATATGCATTTTTTTAGAAGTGCAGATTTTTGGCTTATAACTCTTAATGGCCTATTTATGTGTACTTAGAGTCTCTGTCGCTGTGGGTAGAGGGGCCATACTGCTGCAGCCTACCAGCGTGCCACTGAACCTCCCCCAAAAACACACATTCTTGTTGGATCATCACTATAATAGGCAGCCTTACTGGCCACTTACAATGCATAAGAAGTAAGAAGATGCAGATAAGTTTCTGCACCAGAAAGTCACATTAGCCTTAGATTCCACTGCAAAAACAAGGTGTAGGAGACTGCTGCAGGCACAACTCAAACTTCAGCAGATTTCCCTACTCCTAACAGTGAGAGAGTCTCTTTTATGGATAATTAACCCACAACACCTAGTCAGGATCCATTTTGTACTGGTCTGACTTAAGTGCATTCTGATTGATTGTTATGGGTGGGTATATTCAGGAATCAACATTTAAAGGTCATCTACAGGGACATTAAAAGTTTTCTGTTGCCGTGGGGCAGAAAAACTGTTCATTTATGATTTGGGAACAAGATTTATTTTTTACAATTCTGTTCCCCCGGATGATAGGCCCCCTCCTCCTAGCTCTAGCTGTGTACTGTCCCCCAGTGATCTCAAGTCCAATGCAGGGCTATCTAGCTTACATTGTACTTGATGATGTCAGCCGTCCTTAGAGGAGAGAAGAGTCTGCGGGCCCGTCTAGCAACTCTGAGGGAGCAGGGTAAAACAGCCTTTTCCTGTCCCCTAGGCATAAATGAGCAGTTAACTCTTGTAGTTGTGCTGCCCCACACTGTAAGGGTTGACTTTTAATTTCCCTGATCTGGGCTTTGAATGGAATGTATAATAGTTATGTATATGTTTTATTTCTTTATAAAGGTCAAGAATAAAAAAAAAAAGTTTAAAAAAAATATATATATACTGTATAAGAGCCATACTACTACTACTGGTGGTAAGCGTAATAGTAGCAGTAGTCATAGCAGTATTAGTAGTAGCAATTATCATTGTAGTAGTAATATCAGTATAATTAGTCATTTGTTTTGCACGCCTATACAGTGAAGTGTAGTCTTGCAGACACAACATGCGAAAGGACACAATGTAAAACTATAGATCTTCTTGTTAAAAAGCTTGGTTATGTCAAGGTTTTCTTAAAATCATTAAACCAGTAACTGTATCTGCTCACTTTCATTTGCACTTACATGGTTTTATTTATTCATCAAACAGTTTGCACTTAATCTGAGTGAAACAGACCAGTAAATGGGAAGGAAGTTTTAAAATGAGAGGAAATCATCTCTTATTTCCACATGTGGCTTTATTTATTGTAATATCTTTGCATGAATAAGGTTCATGGGGTGTGACATGCTGGTAGAATAACATGATATTTCAAGTAGGTATAGTAAAGTGCAACTGTCCCTTCTTGTACAAGACAAGCTTAATCAAAACAGAGTATGCTACCAAATGATTTGTTGTTTGCCGGAGAGTTTTTGGATAAAAACAAGATTAGCTCTGCTGAATGTGCAATTGTTATCCCAGCATGTAAAAGGCCGCTGGCAAAACAAATGGTGTTTCCAGATGTAAATCTCTAGGAACCTCAAAATCACATTCTTTCAAAAATGCTGTACATTCACAATTACTAGGGTTCTACTATTTTTATGTACTAGCCTTTTCATATCCATTTCTTAGCAGAAATCCATTACTGTATCCAGTAAATACTCAGACCAAGGCTTAGCAACAGTGGACATGAAGCTCTGGTACCACTTGATGATAACACTTAAAGTGGACCTTTACCCCTTTGACTAAAAATTATCTCAGCACACAGCTCTGCATGCTGATATGAAATCATCTTACATTCATTAGCTGAACAAACCTATTTTTATTTCACTTACAATTTATTTTTTACTACTTCCTGGTCCACTTGGGCACAAATGATGTAATCATGCCCAAGTATTGCATCCTGGTAGGGTTACATTAGCAAAGCATTGCTATGAAATCTCATCTATAATCACAGGAGATCAAGGGGAAAGGCATTTTCCTCCCCTGAAATGATATGCATGGTCATCACATGTCTAAGTCACATGTCCCAGAGTTCCAGGAAGTAATGGGAGATCTAGAAAAGTGCCCTTAAAATGGCCACTGTCAGAAGAATGGGGAAGAAAATAAAAATAAGATATGCAAAAAATAAAAAGCCTGCAATTATCCAGAAGTATCTATTTGTAGATTGTCATTACTAAACATTTCTATAGGTGCCTTTGTTGTTATTTTAAAGATATGAGTAGAGTTCCTCTTTAATTCATAAGTAAAAGAAGGTTCAGATGTTTTGAATGTCTGTAATTTTTATGAAAAAAGGAGGGTGTGCGCTTGCACATGGTGCATGGCATCAAGGAATGCAGTCTTGAAGAGGGGGGCTGGGGAGACTTTCAGTGATGTGAAAGTGATGAAGTGATGTGTGCATGCTCCCAGCCGGAGGTTCAGGGAAATAATGCACAGGAACCCAGAGGCTGCAGCAGTAACGATTCCAGCTGAATATGTTTCTGAACTTCAACAAACATTTATTGTGCGCTGCTAGGGATGTAGAGGCCCTTGCCTGCATCAACATAGGGACAAGGTATCTTGCCGGGTGGGTAGGATGGCATTTCCGCCCTCTTTGCCAGGTACCCTCCCAATGTTGAGGGCATGTGACCTGATATGGTTCAGGGGGGGGGGGGGGGGGAGCAAAAAAATTGCCTCTCCCCTTTCCTGGTAAGCCACTCTACATGCCTGGAGAAGGTTTTGTATATGTTTTCAAGGGAACCCCATGCCAGGGTTTTTTCCTGAAAGGCATAGTAAACTTTTTTTTATAAACAATACATATTGTCACTTTAAGAAAAAAACGTCATGGGGTTCGCCTCAAAATCCATACCAGGCCCCATCCACTGGATATAGATGGTATATATAAACATTTTTAAAAGTCTTGTTAAGCTGTCCATAATGCCTTTAAAACATTAAACATCACAGGACATGTAGACTATACATGCAAATTTTTATCCAAAACTGCAGTTACTTTTTACTGTACAACACAGTATTCAGCTGGTCACCCTAGAAAATAATACTTAAGAATGGACTTATTGTAAGGGAGAGGGCATCCAACACTAAACAGAAACCCATCTTATTCAAATTACTCTCAGTGGTGGGTGACTATCATAAGTTATAGAACATTTAAAAAATACATTTATAAATAGAATTTACACCAAAATATGCAAGGAATATTCAAGAATTATCCACCGTTATTCACTCTCTTCAGGCAGTTACTTCTGTTTGTTTACTGTAGTATCCTCTTATAAGCATTTCTCTGTGGATTTGTAATATGGACAAATAAACTCGATTTTCCAAAATTAGTTCATACACATCTCACTGTCCTAAGTAAAATATTGTCATGAACCTAAGTATATAATATTTTTTTTCCAATATTAATTATTTATATTCATTGATATTTCGACTTTCTATTGCAGAGTTGCAAAATCAATGAAAGTCCCAGTCTATGAAATTCCAACTGGCTGGAAATATTTTGCAAATTTAATGGACTCTGGGCGGTGTTCACTTTGCGGAGAAGAGAGTTTTGGCACAGGTAAAGTATTTTATTTTGGAGAAGCTAAGCAGAATGCCATTTGTGAACTAGATTGACATTTGGACTTTTTTACTTATTTTTTTACTCAGATTAAGTTCTATTTGCATTAGACCATTGTCAATTTTGAAGTTTTGGCTTAGGCATATTTATGTAAAACAATTTTGGGTGTACCACGCTAATGCCTTATTAATGAGAAGCAAAATCCAAAACATTCCAGATTCCCAGTTTAAAAGGAATGATTCAAAGTCAAATTTGTGTTCAAATGGGTAAAGCCATCATTCCAAAACTCTTCCCAAAAATATAGAGAAATAAGACATTTAATTCCATTAGCCTCCCAGTTCTGAAACAACACAACACATTTTACTAAGCTCAACACCTTGGTGGACTGGGCCTGTCTCAACAAATTAAGGATAGGTACATGTAAAGGTATACTACAACCTCCATTTTAATTAAAACAATACAACCATAAAACAGCAAAAACAGCCTTATTGAGGTTAACGTTATTCAGCATTTTACAGATGACAAGTCTAATATTTTCTCATGAGAAAAGTAGGATCAAATGCTAATGTAAGCAATCAGTGTCAACATAGCCATGTGTTAAATCAAATTATGTTCAGTGGGAAACATTGGAAGTCATTAGAATACAAGCTCTCTCTAATGTCCTCTACAGCAAATGTTCGTTGCTTTGTAAGAATATTAAACATGAATATTAACCTAAGCTGTAATGTTGATAACATTTTATTAAGTAACATTATACAAACAAAACTTTCAGTATATTCGAAGAGCTAACCTTAACCAGCTACATGCCTACACGACAGCGTCGGGTTTTTTTTTTTTACAACATCACATTTTTTCTTTGGCTTGTAAATAAAAGCAGTTCTTCTGCTATAAAAGGCCTGTTAGGCTTGAAAATGTCTTAAGCAGAGTTTCCCAGAACAGAATTTTGGCAGCGTGTCTTGGAGCTGAATTAATATTTTCAGATACTCTTCCATTTCTGTAGAAGCACATGGAGAATGTCTGTGATGTGCTGCTTGTGATGCACAGTGCCAGCTTTAGAGCAGAACACAAAACGTACAAACAGCGCTCTTGTAATGATAATAAGGGGGTGAACAGTGTATGACCCTAGATCGTGTGCAGAACTTTCTCCTGTCATTTTCCCTGGGTCTCCCGACCCGGTCAGTTAGCCCACCTAGTGTTGCGCCCTTTTGGGTTTTTTTGTTTCAAGCTTTAGAGCAGAGAGAGTCCTGGGAGCACTGGTGATATCATCTACAGTATGCTCATCCCATGCAGTTGTTTCAGAGCATTCCAGACAAGTTCCAGCCATTGCTTAAATACGCACGCATTCTATAATATAGGAGAAGGCCAGGAAAGAAGAGAGGTAAAAGATAAAGTATACTGTATTTTCTGTGAGACATACTTTTGCCACAAGAAGTATGTTATATTAGCTACTGCTTAACCACTTGAAGACCTTCCGCCCCAAATGCTCCGACACCTAGCCCGATACTCGAGCTTCCGGTATTAGGAAGCCGGGCAACGACTCATTACACGTTGCTCGGTTTCCTGATTGGGATCGTCATGAGGGAGCATGGGGCCGTGTAATGACTAGCTGCCCAGCTTCCTGGTTGGTCGGGAAGCTGGCAAATCAGGAATACAGGTGCCGTGTAATGACTCGGCGCTTGACTTTCTGATTGGCCGGGAAGCCATGAAACATTTATTATTAGCCAATTTGTTGGTACAATATAAACATGTTGGGTAAATAGACACCAAACACGCCAAGCTCTAAAATGATGTGCTCCTGTGAAAGTGCAAAAAACTACCATACCAAAAATTGCCCATATGCAACACTTCAAACACTTTTCCAGGTCATCAATTTTTTTATAAGAGACTTTCAATTTTAAACTTCTTTTTTTTCTTCAATTAACTTTAATGCTATAACAAGCAAAGACCCTGACACAGTGACAAGTCCTCTTTATGGAGATGTAAGGGTCTATTAGTCCCCTAATGTCACCTAGGGCCCGCAAAGAAGCTGATGAAGCAGAGATCTGCTTTACAACTTTTTTCTCCGGCTACAGCCGACATTCTGAAACACACACACACACAATGACACACTGAAAGCAGAAGATCAGATGGGAGATCAGCCTCTGGAAATCGGCTGAACTCCCTCCAATCTCAGTGAAGAGAACCACCATGCTGGTCCTGGGCCTGCACGGAGGACAGTGTAGCCAGGAATACCCAGCAGCAGAGGGGTTCGCACACTTCCTGCACCATAAAGTGATCGGGCACCCTTGTATGGAACAGCCGTTGCTTGCTGTAAACAGGGCGCGCGTGAGCAGCAGGATGTTTAAAAATGGTCACCCGCCGTTAAAAGTCCGCCGTCCGGCCATTCAATTACGACCGGGTGGCAAGCAGGTAAATGTATGCCCAGCATAACTGTTTCTTAAATTTTGGATGGAGTGGAGAATGGTTAGAACCTCCGTTTTTTCATGCTATCCGGGACTCGATTAGAGAGATTTCACCTTGATGTGAAGGAAAATCTGTATTCAAACTACAAACTATAAACACGTTATGTGCAAGTCCCTATGATGTAAAATGTGTGTCTTGTTTTTCCCCATTCAGGCTCAGATCATCTCCGAGAGAAGGATGGACTTTGGGCTGTATTGTTATGGCTGTCAATTTTGGCAGCTCGAAAGCAAGGTGTAGAAGACATTGTAAGAGAACACTGGACAAAGTTTGGGCGCCATTATTACTGCAGGTAAATACTTGGTTTCATTCTACAAATGCGGTGACGGGAAAGGGGGTTACAGTAAATAATACATAAACCTATCTACCTTTAGGGTGTCAGAATAGATTTCAAGTTCCTACTACTTGGCCAAAACCATTACATAATTAAATGGTTCTTAACATGGGGAGAAAGTATTTAGATATTTAAGCAAAGAAAATATGTTTGTTTTTTTTTCAATTTTAAGTGTAATATAAAGCATTTTCTTGTTTTGGATAGTAGTGAGGGGTTAGAACTCCTGTCAGGTTATTATTGCTCACTCCCTCTATTTGTCTTAGTGCCAATGTTTCCGGAGTGAGAGAACGTCCAAAATGGTGAGTTCTATAGAACCTAAATCTTCCAGTGGAATACTTGTTTAAGTGACAGCTGTCTCAGAGAGTATTTACCTCACTTTGGAGAGATTTTCTCCAACGTCCTGTTGTGTCTACAGGGCAGGAAGTAGAAGAAAATCTACCTAATGGGACAGTGATTGTTCTGTCTCAGCCACCAATTGATGTATTTGCACAGACCTCCTGAGATTTAAATCTGTCCAGACAGTATGACAACTTACTGAGCTGATGCGGTCCACAGGCAGGGTCCAACTCATCAAGAAGACTCAGAGTAGAATCCAATGTGGTTTATTTAGCCTTCGGAAAAAACAGAGGATGCGATTCCTTGTCATTTTTTGGAGTGGACATTTCTTTCTTAAACCCTGTAACATGTGGGTAGACCCCTCTTAACACAGTGAAGGAGAGGGTGAAAGGGAAATGGGAAGGGGAGGCAGAGAGTGTCTAGCTAAGGGCTGTACCAATATACACAAATCAGGATATTATGCCTCTGGCAACCATATTGAACCGCAGCCAGCTACTAAGAGACAAGTGACACCATGGCTAAGTAAGCTGGCAAATGTGGTGGGGTCAGTGACGCTAATTTATAGTGTGCGCTGCCACTGCCACAGAATACTGGCGCTTCCACTGTATTCTATCAACTAGAATTTCAAGTATTTTGAGTGAGTTGGCAATGAGAGCATATGCATTTCTCTTAAAAGGGCTCCTTGAGCCTAAAACTCCAAATCCAGTGGTCACCAGTCTACTCATGTTTGGGTGTAGACATATGCCTGTCTTTTTGGAGTCAGCAGTTTTTCAAACAAGTGTAAACAAAATATAGCAAAGAGAAGATTTTGTGCAAAATCTTAAATACCAGATACAAATATACCAATTAATATAGCTATGTATTCATAGTCATTAAATGCATTTTAAAATGCAAATAGTGTGGATATAAATATGAAACCTTAACTGCAACTAGTATTTTTATAGTATCCATTGACAGAAGACATCTTGTTCTGTAACAGATTTGATTATGATGGTCTTGAGCCAAGAACATCATTTTTTATCATGAAGGATGTGGAAACTACGATAACAGAGAAGACCTTTGCTAATCAGCAGTTTGCTGTGGGGAGCAATGTATACAGTGTAGAGAAATCAGACAGCTTTGAATATGTGGACCCAGTGGATGGAACAGTTGCAAAGAAACAGGTAAGTCCAAATCTTTAACATAAAACCATTAATACTATTATAATTCACTAAAATATACATAAGGGCAGAGATACCAAACCAGTTAATTTTCCTACTGACTATAGTTGAGGTTGCAGGTAACATTGCAAAAAACGGTCCATAAAGTAGGAGAGCAAAGCAGATCATTCTAGTCCTTGTCATGCAGGTCTTTGACAGAAAATCTGTCTATATTCAATTTATATTACTTCTGTAGTCACCAGTGGCGTAACCAGAGTTCTGGGCGCCCGGGGAGTTGTTACGCCACTGGTAGTCACAGTACATTGATTCTAGTACATTGGTACAAGCTGAATACTGTCTGCTGATAGCAATCAGTGGTATAAGTAGGAAAAACTTTATTCAGGAAGTTGACAATGGAGATACTTTTTCCATAGTATCCCCTGAGAAAAGAACATATGTTATTACTGGAAAACTATTGAATGCATGCTTAGCAGTAACTCAAGCCCCCTTTCACCCTTAAAAGATATTAGAAAAATGTAAAGTTGAAAAACAGTTAGCCAGGATAAGGTTACTGCATACAGAAGCTTAAACTTAGCATGTTAGAGTGTGATGACTGCTAAAAGAGCCACAGGGTTTTAGATACTATGATGTGATATAAGTCAATAACAAAAGTGTAGGCTATTATCTGCTGAATGGTAAAGTCAAATGTGTTATATTTGTAAGTTACAACTGATATGATATTTTGTACCATTACATGCAAATGATGCACTACTTCTAGATAAAAAAACTAAGGATTAACCATCATACACAGTCCCTAATTTATTTAAAGTACCACATACAGGGGCGGACTGACAACACATGGGGCCCGGGCAATACAAGATTATGGGGCCCCCTTGTGCTCCGCCCATATACAAGTCCCTCCCTCACGCCCCACCTGCATAGACATTCTTGTGTCACAGAAATGTTTTCTCCACATTATTTTTCAAATAGTGGGCCAATTGAATTGCCGGGGAACTGGTGGGCGAATTTCAAAATCTAGACCAATATAGGCAATTTGAAAGTGAGTTAAATGGCAGAATGCATGAAAGACCTCAGACCGGAACCAATACACGTCACACTTCAGACCAGAACCAATACATGGCAGAACTCGGGCAGGAACCAATACACGGCAGATTGGGCAGTTAGAATGACACATACACAGTGACATCTCTGGGATAAGCCATCACACACAGTCTGATCCCTGTGGGATGTCATCCACACACACGCGTTAATGGGCAGCTCCTTCCATGCCAGCACACGTGCTCTGCTTTAGCAGGTGGGTGCAGCTGTGTTAAAGCGGCGACAGTAGTGTCTGTTGGACCCGGGAGGCCGGTGTAATGATCCCCCTCGGGGCCGGGCCGCCTCGGTCCTGCTGGCTCCCATGATGAGTGCTCGGCGTTCCACTGTGGAACGCGGAAGCCGCTCGACTTCCTGGTTGTGACGCGAGCGGCCTGCGTTCCACGCTGGAACGCGGAAGTCACTCGTTCCGGCCGCCGCCTCCTACATCCTGGGGCTATTTAAAGCCCCAGCTGTAGCAGCATGGCGTTCAACAATTGAGCTCTGAACGCCTGCTGACTACTGCACCAGAGATCATCGGACTGTGTCTCCTCACTACAACAGCATCTGCCAGCTGGACCCACACCCTGCACCTCGCTGCTCTGCCACCCCTCAAAACTGCAAGTATCGCTCCACTGGGAGCAGGTCACAAACTGCCAGCTGCTTGAACCATACTATATTGTGCTGCTGTTACTCTGTGATACCGCTGTGGGGAGATTCAAGTATTGTTCGGGAGATCTGTTTAAAAGTATTACTTCGCCACGAAGAGAAGTCCATTATTTGAGCCCTATACTATACATTTGTTGGTGCTAAGAGGAATTAGCCCATTTATTATTACTTATTTACACATTGGCTATGAAGCAAGAGTCTCAAACTCCCCCTTAAGACTGGGAGTGACGCCTGAGACTCACGCCTGAGAAGCCAACTATCCATACACGCCATCACTCCCTCTCCGCAATTGCGCTCCAGTGCGACCGATTAGAGCTGACGTTACAGCCGGGGAACACTGCCCCTGCCACTTTAACACAGCCGCATCTACTAGTTTGGCTGCGGCTCAGCCGAAAACAGCAAAGAGATGACGCACACAGCTGCCTTTCCTTTAGTGGCGACTCTAGGAACAATATATGGGGGGCACATAAGATACTACAGTCAAATCTGGGGGGGGGCACTAATAATTTTCATTGCATGTTGCAACCGCTGGGAGCAGAGAGCTGATTTAATTGCGGATGGCATCTGCGCCCCGCGGTTGTGACATGTAGTCCAACGCCGACCACAATCCTGAATACCGCAACCGCCGGGCACCGATGCCCTCCACAATTAAATCAGCTCTCAGCGCCCGGTATACAGCATGGGCTTATTGGCAACTTTTAGCAAAGGGGCAAGTACAACCCAGAGGCCCATGGTGCAGCAACTTGGCCCCCTTCCCGCTCTGCCTCTTCCCCCGCCCCTGCCTGCCACTTTTGCCATCCATGTAACGGTAGTGTGGGAGGTTAATGGGAGGGGCCGGACAGTGTCAAATTCAGTGTTCTATAATTTTTCTCGATCCTATAAATTTTCTCGACTGTGTCACTTCCAGTGGGGCCGAGTCATCCCAATCAGCTGTTTTCATGACATGCGCACCTGGAAGAGACGTGGCAGAGAAATGTATGGGTTGAGGAAAATTAAAGCACACTGGTAGTGTAGGGATGCCTCGTCAGTGCTGTGCGCATGTACGACTGCTGCGACCTTGGTACTTCTGCCACTAATTCCAAGCTGTAGAGGGACTGCAAATCTCAGCACAACAACAATGTAGAATAATACCACCAGCTATAGAGGACTATAAATCCCAGCAATACATTATACAGAAATGCAGAATACCACCAGCTAAAGAGGAATACATTATACATACATTGAGGGGAATTTATCAAAACTGGAGCAGACAAAATCTGGAGCTGCTGTGCACTGCAACCAATCAGCTTATCTCTGTCATTTTCACACCTTAACTGAACAAACTAAAGAGAGAAGCTGATTGGTTGCCAGATTTTGTCTGCTCCAGTTTTGATAAATTCCCCCCAGTGTATAATGTATTGCTAGGATTTGTCATCCTCTATAGCTGATGGTACATTGCTGTGTATAATATACAGCACAATGTACCATCAGCTATAGAGGACAACAAATCCCACTATCCCAGCAATACATTAAAGAGAACCATGTGGTGGGGGGGGG